GGGCTTGTGCAGTTGAATGACTTCGTCTCGTTGGTTCGTTCTCAGATCTCTTACGGTTGAAAAAAAAAGAATCGCAGCCGTTGTGCTCGGGTGCTACGTGAAGAAGCAGTGGAATTTATGCGCGTCTGTTAAATCATCTTAGAAACCATCTCCTAGTTTTACTGATTTGCTGATTCATCATGTCCGGCTTTCGATTCGACCGCAAGCCTGAGTGTATATTGTGTTTCGTATATGTTCCCTTATAACGATCTCTGAACTCTGTAGGAGGTGACGGTGGTCCGCCCAGGAGGGACAGGGATAGAAGCTCGAACGACAGGCGTGGTGGAGGTAAATATTGCATTGGTTTTTATAAGTTTCCCTTGGAGATGGTGTTTTTTGCTAAAATCAGATCAACCCGGACTTCATCCAGGCAGGAGCAGGGACGCGGAAAACCAACAGTGCCCGCCGCTCCGCTTCGCTGGGCGGAAATATCCTTTCGGTTGCCGGAACGCGAGCTCCTTCATATACAACACCACACATTTGTTCCAATCCTCATCTACAGAAAATTGATCAGATTTCATTTTCAAGCTCTGGTGAAGAAAGTTGACATGGAAAAAAGAAACAGAGCAAGCGGTATTCGAATTTCCCGTCGATTTTTCTGCAGCTGCTGTTTAGTCAACATCTGCATAAAACCAAACATACTGTCAACTTATTGTCAATGGACTCACCCTTTACATTATTCATGGGTTTTCTTGCATACCATATTTACTTGAGTGTCAAGGCCAAAATTAAGAAGATAAGAGGGTGAACTTTTCAAGCCATTTCCAAGTACAATTAGAAAATGGAAATATAAATTCACATTCAATTCTGTATGACTAAAATTCAAGTCAAATTTAAATTCTGATTCATTTTATTTTTTAAATGCAGTACTGTACAGTCAATCCCTACACAACAGACTTAATTTGTGCAAAAGACTACTGTGATCTGTTATGTGAAAAGTTTGTTATGAAAATTGAACTATTAAAAAGCTGGAATTTGTACTCATTACCATTCATTTCAAATCAACAGAAGTGTGTTGGGTGGATTTTATCCATTAGGCAGGAGGAAAAACTGCCTCCAGAGGCATACTGTTGGGTGAAAATCCCTTAGATGGGAGGTCAATTAGGCAGCAGGGGTTGACTATTCTGATTTCTGGTCTCTGTAAATTGGTCTTACTTGGGGAGTTGGAAACTTGCACTAAATTTTTATTTTAATTTTAGGGTGCAAAATTTAGGTGTGTGCCTCACTTGAGGGCAAGTGGTACTTGAGTAAATATGGTACTATAAGCAAGGGGGCACATACTAAATGGTATGGTATGCAATGTTCACTCATGCAATATATAAAAAATTCAGTCTTTGGAAATTTCTGGCACAAAGTATAAAACAAAGATCAAGCAAGTTCCAAATTTATCCTTAATTTTATAATGTTTAGTCATGTCAATTGACATTTTGAAGAAAATTCAGTCAACCCCAGATGATCATCTATTGGGTATAAAAGCAAGGGCAATACTAAATCAATACTTCGTATACCACCTGTAATCAACATTTTAACAACAACAAGGGTTGAAAGGTTAATGGTGGAGGATTTATGGAGTGACTAGCTCTGGTCTTTCTCTTGATGAGTCTCCCTTGACCCTCAAATGATAAGATTATTTGCAAATCAGAAGCTATCTTGATTTTAGAGTAGATTGATTAATGTTCCTCTGTATTGCATGCACAAAGGAAAGACAGTAACTTATGCATTATCTTTTCCTTTGCATCATATCATCCTTCCTATTTGAAGGGCTCTCCTTCCTTTCTTCACTCATCACAACTTGGCTGAGCTTGATCATGGACGCATGCGAGTTGTCAAACTAAATTGAACAGTAGACTTGTGGTGAACATTTCTTGGGTGTGCTTGGAAGCACAGTAATTCAAGTTGAAGTGAGCTATTGAGGTGGAATTTGTGACACTCAATTGATTGTATTATTTGATTGTGATTGCAACTGCTTCTTTTTCCAATTCATTCTCTTTGTAATACTGTATTTCATTAACCATATCAAAGAAACATTTTTGGTAGACCAAGGAAATAAGTCCATCAAGATACTGCAACAACTTGATCAGATTTTTCCCCAATACCATGGATTTTTCATATTAAAAGATGATCAAAATGTGCAGAAAGTAAGTGTCTTTGAAACACTTCGGGCAGAATGCATTCGAATCTTCATTAAGCTACTTTCATAATGTTCATATCTGAGCATCATCAAATGGCTAGTATACATTGCCAAGACTCTGTAAGGATTTGAAAAAAATGGTGCCCGTTCCAAATTTTATACCAATTATGACGTTGAAATAATTATCTTAATTTTAAATTGCACTATTACGAGCGTTGGAACAATGCATCAATATTTTTGGAAAGCATATTTGAGCTTGCGATTGATTTTTCAGCCAAATTAGAACAAGTTTAAAAGATGAAAACAGGTGGAGAAACTGGATTACTTTGAAAACTGAAATCCAAGATAATTCAATCTCTAGAATTTTCCTCAATCCTGCCTAAAAGACCTCAAGAAATGAAAATGTTCCTAATCAATTATTCAAAACTATCATTCTGTGATAGTAATATGCAGTATTTCAACTTTTTTATTCATTCATGAATCAATACTACACAATTTTGTATTGCAGCAGAATTTTCCTAATCTTGCTCATATTTACTCCCCGAGGCCAGAAACCCATTTTATCAACACTTGTTGAAAAAAATAGATCAAACCTGTCAAGGTTGAACACAATTAAATTTTATATCAGATCATTTCAATGCCTTTTATAACATGGTGATTGCATCCGTAATACAGAAGGATGATGTGTTCGTTATACGTGTTTCATACACAATTAAAATCTTACTTGTCATGACGCAATTGACCTTGTGATGAGACTTCAGTAAATTACTTATGAAACAGCAGTTTATGTTCAAAGGCAGGAGGTGAATAATTTTTACAAGCAAGTCTGAAAAAAAGGTAAGCGAATTCTAGACAAAATTTGCTTTTTTTAAAGAGCCATTCCGTGACAATTTCTAATATGCACTAGGATTTTTCTAGCCACAATTGCTTTGAAAATCAGTTACTCAAAAGAGTAAAAAAATCTGGTAGAGTTTCTTTTCTTACTTATTACCTTTTTTTGCTGCTGATGGTGGAGAGAAATAAAGGTTGATTTACATGCAACACTGTTTTTATATTTTTCTATCTGGCATGAAACTAAAAAAAAAGAATATGTCTTGTAAAAATGTATTCTACTTCAACTTTTTATTTTCAGAATCTCATTTCAACAAGTTTTCCACGGGGATTGTGGTGAGATCTCTCTACAATGATCTTATTGTCATCAACAATTTTCTCTGTATGAGTAATATATTTGCGTGTGTCTCAAATGGTTCTCTCCCCATGTTCCATGAGGGTTTTCTACAACAAAATTCTCTCTACAAGGATTTATTTTTTACACTGGTTCCTTGAATTTTATTGTAGAAAGAGCGAGTGAGATAGTAATAGTTTGCCAGCTGTTGTGCATCTAACAGATGTTCAATAAAATACGGTTAAAATCAGAAATTCTCTAGCAGCATCAAATGAGGCGTTTTTCATCTTCTTACCCTCTCTTTATGGGTCAGTGTTGGGATGCATCGAAATTAATGGTCCCGTGTTGGCGGCTGTGGGGGATTTTTGTGAATAGACAAATAATGCGCTGCGAAATGCGTGTAGTGGGAGCCAGTTGCTGGCAGGCAGTTGGCATCCAGTCTTGACTTCGGCCATGCTGACAAGGAATGAATCCAGCAGTTGTCGGAATACTGCCAACGCAGTTGGTGGTCATTGGGATGTGGCCAACGAGGATGACAGTGTTGTGGGTGATAGCAGCGGTAGTTCTGCGCTGGGCCGCAGGACAATCCCAGTCCAGGCCCAACATAGTGTTTATCCTTGCCGACGACTTGGTAAACATTGTCTGGTTGTTTTCTTTTTTTGGCCCCCTTTATTGTTTCAGATACAGTATACATGCAGTATAGCAATGCAAATCTTTGCTCAAGTCGGGATTTTATGTACACCCTTTACCTGGCAGTTGATATGAATAAGTTAACCCCAAAGGCATGCTTGATTGTGAGCTGCTGGTGGCCAGTTCAGGTCATTTGGTTCAGTCAAACTCATTTAAAGTATTTTGTGCCAAGGTTAGCATATGCATGAGAGTTCTATATTGCGGAATTATTGGACCTTGCTGAATCAGAAGCTCACATTGTTGCATTTTTGCTTTGTTTCTGCCTGGATTATCTTGAAAGGAAAAATATACTGTAAAACCTTACATTGATCTCCGGAACTCCAAGATTTTCCCCCCACTCAAACTTTTATGGCACTTGGGCTATTACTCTGCATGGAAACACAGGATGTGAAAAAAAGTGTAATGATGATTTTGAAAGGAAGTGATTGAATGGTGAGGCTAATTTTCCCTTGCTTCTGAGTTCAGCATGGTGTCGAAGACTTTCTCCAGCAGCTTCAAGGACAAGAAGATTGTAAATTATGTTGTCCAAAGATTCTTAATTTTTCTTCAGTAAAAATGCTGGTTTCCCAAATTCAAAACCTCCAAGAATGAATCATTTGATCCTTCCTAGTTTAACTTGACGCTTCAAGTTAATCAAAAAAAAGGACTAGCAATTTGTCAAAGTGCATCATATGATACCTTCAAAAAAATTGAGCATTTTGTTCGAAATGCTGGTGCAGTCACTTGCACAGATTTTGCAATTGAAAGGAAATCTGCTTTTGAAACATTTTTTAATTGCAATTGTTGAATAAATGCCTGGACTTCCTTTTGGATTATAGCACGTATACAGTTAGTCCAGAAAAAAAAATCAACCAGCAAATTTCCTGGATTTATCTGTAACATTTAAACAACACAAAAAAAAACTGATTCTAGACTCTTGTGAAATGTCAGTTCGATAGCTTTCAGATTGGTGTTCATACACGTTGACCTGTTACATTGGAAAATTTTTTTTTTCAATTACGGCGTAATAGTGAGAAATTGTCATTCAAACTTTCATAGCTCAGAAAACTGGATTTTGTCTGAAACAAATGTGACTTCATGCAGGTTCAATTCCTATGTCAGTATTTGCATTTTGATTTCTGCATAGAAAATGACATCATTTTGGCCATTTCAAATCAAAAGTAAAAATGTTCCAGATTAGTGTGGATTACTTCATTGCTAATTTTTCCAGAACAATAAAAAAATACATTCCCTTTAAAATTCGTCATTAAATTCAAAATTTCGGAAGCATTAACAAATCAGATATTGAAAATTTGAAGATGATCATTCAACTGCTTCCAAAACTCAAAAATGTAAGAAAAATCACTGATGAACAATTTGGTTCAAAACGGTCCGCTTTATCTTTCTTGAATGAAATCAATGGGAATTGCATAATAATTAAAATTCGCATTTCTGAACCTTTTTTGTTTTGGATTGAACTATCAAAATTCAGTATTACTCTATATGAAAATAAAAATGCATGTACTGTACATCATTCAAAAATCCTGAAGTGGAAATTTCTTCGATAATTGTTAAACTAAACTGCTTCAAATATCTGCAGTAACTACTATATATGCTGAGGATTTAAAAAATTATTCGGACGCAACTGAAAAAATTTAAATAGTGTCTAAAATCCGTTCTTATATTTGCTTGAGAGCTCTGAAATGATCAAAGGGGAAACTTATTTTTTCTAGTACATAGGCACTTAGCAACAATTTTGCAAAGTGTTATGCAATTCAGAGTAAACACTAAATCACCCTATTCTGACTAAGCTTTCTGCTTATAAATACACTCTGCTATTTCTATGCCAAAAAATGCGTTATTATTTCGGTTGTGATCAATGTTTGCATTGATTGATGACGTTATTGGAGAAGCTTTGCATCTTCTGCGGAAAACTTGCACAAGGCTGCAGTCTGAAGGTTTTTCTATTTAATAGGGATGGAATGACGTGGGTTTTCATGGATCAACAGCCATCAGAACGCCAAACATTGACGATTTGGCTTATTCCGGAATCATGCTCAACAACTACTACGTCAATCCCATTTGCACACCTTCTAGAAGCTCGCTTTTGACGGGAAAATACCCTATTCACACAGGTGCTTCCGGGAGTTCAATATAATTCCTAGTGGGTTCTTTCTCACAACAAAGTTCTGGAGCATTATCAACTGCAAATTTCCCCAACTGTATCAAAGTAATGTAACTGACTGGAGAAAAGAAAATGCATAGACAGGAGATTGTATGGTAGTGCTTGAAATAGTGAGAATATTTGGCAATCTAAAATCAGTTGGCCAATGTGATTTTACAGAGAGTATAGATTCTTAATTTGATAGGGAAGGTCTCCTATAGACCTACTCTTTAGTCTATACAAGTGTTCCCAAACATTTTTGGGCCCACCAACTGGCAAAATTTCATAAATTTGTGTTTACAAAGTTTCTGCTGTTTTGCAAAAAATTAAGAACCAATGAAGCAGCTATAGTGGAATATCTTCAAAAATTAGAAAGGTGGACTTGGAGAAAAGTCTCTCAAGAGGAAAAAATTTCAATGATTTATTTCAGCAGGTGAAAATCTTCTCAAGTGTTGGGAAAATTTCCAAGTGTTATAAAATCCAAAATTTCAGAAAGAAAAAAAAAAACAGGCTTCATTGCTACTTTTGATAAATTTACTATGCTGCAGACCAGCACCAGTCCCTGGACCATGGGATTAGGAACACTGGTCTATATTTAAAAACATTTTGAAAATTTGGAAACATTGAAGCTTGATCAGAAATAGAACCATGGGACTCAAAAAATGAGAGAATCAAAATGCAACAATTGAAAAGTATACCTGTACAGTATTACTGTAATTGTTTTCCTGTCAATCAACATGTTGGTCAAATTAGGACGCATTCAACAGTCACGTTATGGTATAATATTTTTAGAAACTGAGCACAACATTAAATTAGTTTTGAATTTCCATTTTGGAGATAGAGATGGACTCTCTACAATGGTTATGTTTTTTTTTTCAATGTCCAATGGGATTTTCTCCAAATGCTAAAGGGGTTTTCTGCAACAAAATTCTCCCAACAATAATTTTTTCCTGGTCCCTTGAATTTTGCTGCAGAAAATCCGCCTGTATTAAAAACTAGTCTGCGTTTTCCTCATCAACCCTGCTTTGCTTTACTTGAACTAAATCAGGATTTTTGACACAATGTTTGTTCATATCTCAAAAATTACTTCAGGAATGGAGCACTCCGTCATCCTAGAAACTGAGCCTTGGGGACTAGGACTTGATGAAATACTGCTTCCAGAGTACTTAGCCCCTCTGGGCTACACACGTCATATCGTGGGCAAATGGCACCTTGGGTTTTTTCAAAAAGAGTACACGCCCACGTACCGGGGATTTCAGACCCACTTTGGCTACTGGTCTGGGAAGCATGACTACTGGTCACATTTCTCTGAAAAATACATCGTGAGTTCCGCAAATCCCATTTCACACTGCTCATCATATACTTCCTTGCAAAAACAGGATTTAGACAATGTTGACATCATCTGGACTGAATGGAACCTGAATGGTGAAAATTCATTGGAACAATTCGTACGATGTACAGTGCTATGCTTCACAACTCAGATGATGCAGAGTATCTTGAATAACATATTCTTCAGCTCAAAATGTATTCTTAGTACAGTACACCCGTATATCTTCAATTGTGCACGTTTATATTGCAGTCAAACAATTTTTTCATGACTGGTCTCGACATGCGGCTGAACATGGAACCAGCTCACAATACGACCGGACGTTACACCACTGATCTTTTGACAGAGGCAGCTACTTTGATCATTCAACATCACAAGGTGGACGAATCCCCGTTGTTCTTGTACTTGTCACACTTGGCTGTTCATTCAGCAAACAAGGAGCAACCCCTGCAAGCTCCCAAAGAAGTTGTGGACCAATTTTCTCACATAAAAGATGAAAAACGTCGAACATACGCTGGTAAATCCAACAAATTCATCATCAAGAACCATTCAGTCACATTCAAGATCAGAATTTTCAGATTGTGCATCTGGAGAATATATTGTCAAACATTCCTCAAAAATGTTTGTTTACACTGGAACTGGGAAGTTTTTTGTAACAAGATTCTTTCAACATGAACTCTATGGGCTTTCTGCCAAAACGTGCGAAACAGTTCGTTATACTGAAAAATATATTGTACGGTGTTTGTTGTTACAAGATTCTTTTGTATCATGATGCAGCCATGGTTGCAAAATTGGACGAATCAGTTGGAAGGGTTGTAGAGGCCTTGGCGCAAAAGAACATGCTCAACAACACGATCCTGATTTTTTCAACGGACAATGGCGGAGCAGCTGCGGGTTTCAACTACAACGCTGGGTCCAACTGGCCTTTACGTGGGGTACATCAGACGTGAATTTTAATTTCTGTGAATCCATCAGAAATGTCACCAGAAAATACACTATGTTCCAGGTTAAGAATACGCGCTGGGAAGGAGGTGTAAAAGGGGTAGGCTTCATTTGGAGCCCGCTGCTCAAAGTGCATGGCGTCAGATCCGACAAAATGATGCACATAGTTGACTGGCTGCCAACCTTACTTTCTGCCGCAGGTCAGGTTTATTTTTAATTTTTAAATGAATTGTTGTTGGGCCAATTTGTCAAACTATAGTTTTTGATTGCAGGCGTCAAACGGTCTGACCTTCCGCCAGATTTGGACGGTATCAGTATGTGGGAATCTTTCTTAGAAGAGCCCAATTCTGACCATTCGCCACGATCAGAAATGCTCATCTCACACGATCCGCTTTATGGAGTTTCCGTATACAGATACGGTTATTGGAAAATCTTGAATGGTGAGTCTTTGCGTCAGTAACGTTTTCTGTGAATTGCATAAATTTCTCCAGTTATCTGTGAAAGTTCACGGAATAACACGATTAAAATTTTGTGCAACAATTGACAAAATACCTGAATACCTGCATCACTGAAATTAAATTAACGCAGGTCATGGAATTGGGACATTGGCAGTTGAATTTAATTTTGATGCTTTACAAAAATCCAAAACTATTGAGAAATCAAATATGCTCCTGTCAATTAATCTTGTCTTCAATAGCCCGCAAACAAGATTCAAGTTTCCTCAAAATGCTTCTGATAAATGAATCACAAACTCAACAAAGACATGATTAACTTTTTTGGGACATTAGCTAGGTAAAATTTATGCCTCCTAAGGAAATTTCGATTGTTTTTGAGAAGAATAAGAATTTTATTTTGTATCATACCTATTTTTCACATCATTCACGCTCTTTTGATAAATCATAAACCCCTTCCAACCGCCAACCCCGTTAAACCGCCACAAACAAATGATAGGAGGCTTACAGATGTTTGACTATAAAAACAATCCCTTATCTGAACCTGGCGTACGGTATTACTGAAATTATGAGCTTCCGAACAGGAACAAGTCGATCAAGAGAACCTCATTGTTATGACGCTTGGTTGTAAATCTTGCTCTTCTCATGTGCACTCCATCTTTTGGGGGATAAAATACCCTATTCTTCCCACAAAATGAATACATTGGTCTGTTTAATGCGCAACATTCTATAATGCATCAGGAACAACCTACGATGGATGGTGGGATGGGTGGTATGGACCAGCTGAACAAGGAACATCTCAAGACACGAGTGCAGTTGAAAACGAAATCCGCATCAACAACGTATGGATATCCAAATCCAAGACCAACGAAGTCAGAGATGCTGCGGCAGACGGGTCCCCAAGAATCATCTCTCAGGTGGAAGAAGCCTTACAGGGAGCTGGCTTATGGAGCTACAGCTACAGCGACTCGATCCCCTTTAAAATAGATTGTGGACAAAAAGTGCTTCCACGCATGGGGACTCCTTGCAATCCCTTGCATGGACGCCCGTGCCTGTTCCACATCAAAGAAGATCCATGCGAATACCACAATTTGGCGGATTTTTACCCCAACATCGTGGATAGTTTGTGGAAACGAATGATGACGATTGCAGCCACGGCAGTTCCAGCAAGGAACCAGCCACACGATCCTGAAGCAAACCCGGCAAAGCGTTGTTATTTATGGTCCACGTGGCGATCTCCAGAGGTAGCTTTTTCATGACCACCAAACAGTGACGCAATATTTCCTTGCTGAAGCTACCGCAGAATTTTTTTTTTTTCATGTGCCGCGGCTGCAGTCATGGCGAGTCAATGACATACTATACTAACTTTAGTAGACGCTGTCTTAAGCCGCATTTACTGCTTGAACTAGACAAGCTTAGAGAAAACTTTGACAGCTAGCCTAACCCCATACCTTTCTTCAACTACAGTACATGGAATTTGACGTACTTATGTGCAAAAGCAGGTCGGGGGAAGCTTCAGCAAGGAAGAATCATTAGAGTAGGATTCAAAGTACTGTACAGTGGTTCTGTTTTGACAAACAGGTGACAATTGAGGAAAACCCAGGAGATGAAGTCACGAATGTCCAATGCCCGAATTGCCAACGGATGTCACTCGCATCTTATGGCTTCAGGCCACATCACAATTCCACGATTCAACGAAAAGTCCCTCAAGATTAATTGAGGAAAACCCAGGAGATGAAGTCACGAACGTCCAATGCCCGAATTGCCAACGGATGTCACTCGCATCTTATGGATTCAGGCCACATCACAATTCCACGATTCAACGAAAAGTCCCTCAAGATTAATGTCATGAAGTCGCTTCAACAAGATTTCTGTGCAAAACAAATCTATTCAAATTGCTAAGGATGATATTCTTTCAACATTCCTGGATATTGTGGCCATGGAACCTCTTTAAAAGATGTACTGTTCAGCAGTTGCATTGAAATCCTGTCAATCCACAGCAAATCCTGAGAAGATCAAGCAACTTATTCCAGTGGAAAAATGCAATTGATACTTCAAGTCAAATTTTTGGCAGCCTTTTGGCTCTTATTTTCTTGATATATCAAAGAGAAAAGCAATAAAAGAAGTAACTTATTGTGTTTTGAAAGGAACTGATGTACTAATTGGGCAAATAAACCCCTGCCTTCAAGTTCAGTATGCTGTAAGTGTAAACTCAATTAAGAAATGATTTCTAAGAGCCAGAATATCACCATTTACATTTTCCTGCAATTCTTTCACATTTCCCGCAAAAAATGCTTGTTTCCCTAACTAGAAACCTCCCTAAATGGAAACCTCCTCAAGTAGAATTTTTTTTCATGGTCCCTTGAAATTTAACTTGGAGAGGTTCAAACTGGTGTTGCTTGTGCAGGATTACAGGACTGTTACAGAAAATGTTATTGAAATATTGCACTGATGTTCCTCAAGACAAAGACCAGCGTCTGCCCGTCGTCAGCTCCGACCATCAGCAGCTGTGCTTCACAAAACCCCGGAACTGCAGCAGCCAAGTCCAGAAACAGCAACCCCTGATGTTCACCCACCTCTTCATCAGGAAGCCGAAATTGCTTCCGAGAGCACCTCATCATCAGCAGAGCCGCCGCCCTCGTCCTCAATAAAGGCCAGGCTCGGCCCAACAAAGTCCCTCCGAAGGCCGAAAAGCGCCGCCACTCTCAGCAGTGGCCCGCCTCCATCAAGGGCGAAAAACGCCGCCGCTGCTGCTGCTGCCAGTCCCACCAAATCCTCTGCATTGCCACCACCACAACCACCAACAAGAACGTCTCCTACACTGTCAACAAATACTGGAGGAGGAGGAGGAGGTATTCGGGAAAGGCCGATCACTGCTGACTCCGCATTGCGTTTGAAGAATGTGGGTGAGTAAGAGCCGAAGCAAGAGCAGGTGTCAATTAGGCGACAGAATCAGCCGATCGCGTGGCAATTCGCCAAGTTGCCTGCCTATGACGGGGCCAAAAGTCCATATGGCCTTTCAGCTCAACAACTGGAACAGCGCAACCAGTGAGTTGATCATCGTATTTATCCCAATAAAATAAACTGAATGAGTAATTCACAATGATGTTGCACATGTACAAATGTTGATTCATATACTGTACGTTCTGAGACTTTTTGAAATATAGATCCAGTGGAGTTCAAACAATTTCAAAAATCATTTTTCTGCTCGCCCATCATTTGGTAACACTTCAGTGCTGATCACCAGCATACTCTCCGCGGATTTCAATGCTTTTTTTAAATGATAAATTCAACGATCGAAACAGTGCCAAAAATTGAGTTCCTTATTTAGTTGATTATGCTGCTCTTCGACAGAGTAAATTGAATGAGGTTGTACCCGTCCCCAAAATCAATCCATTTCAGGTCGTTTTCTGCTGTTGGGAACAGTAAGAAGTCATAGGGTGCCCAATCAACCAACAGAACTCAACTTTTGTCTCTGTTTTGAGTTTTGGATTTATTGCATGCATTGAATTATTGCATTGAATTGGATTTATTGCATGGATTTAATATGCATTGAATTGGCGGGGAGTATGTTGATCAGCACAGAAGTGTTTCCAAATGATGAGGCTATGCAAGTACATTTTTTTTATTGTTGAAACTTCATTGGATCTATTCCAAAAAGTCTCAAACCTTATGATCTACAGTGAGACCCCAAGATATACAGATGAAATTGGTGCATCAAGAGTGTCCTGAAATGTTGCAATGTCTGTAAGTCAAGTCTCATATTCCACTTGGACTTCAGTGCTAATCTATTTGATATGTTCTCGTTTTTGTCAAAAATTAGAAATAAGTCCTCAAAAAATTAAACATTTTTTCCCTCTACTTCATGTTGTGGAAAACAAGAGTGCAGAACAAAACCACAAAGAATCTATCTTTTGGTATCAAAAGAGAATCAAAAACAAAGAAAAAGAATAATTCTTGCTAGAATATGCACAGATGATAGTAAAAACTCTGAAAAAAGAAGCGCAAAATCAGCTTTCTTTTGATCATGAATTAGAGTGCATTCATCATGAATTTTTTTTTATATAAACAGCTTGATTTGTTCAAAAATATGAAAATTAGAAGATAAATGTTTTGATTTTTTGGGAAAATTTCAGAATATATAGTGTTCCTAACTTGGGCCAATGTCTGGATGTTGGGCCTGATTTTTTTGGTTTTCAAGTGTCCTTAAGTCAAATTGTCCATATGTCAGGGTGTCTGCATATCAAGATCTCACTGTACAGTATATAGTGCTTGAACTGCATTTTTGAGTACAGTACCACATTCTTTTGTGTACCATGTGCACCTTCATTTTTGAGCTGTGAATAGACATGTCCATTGGGTCATTGAATCATTCATCACAAGTACTGTGCAGTGGACCCTCAGTTAACAATATATTTGTTTAACAAACTTATGTCCACAAAGAAAAATCTCTCAGTTAACAAACTAAATTTCAGCAGACATATACTCATGTTCCCATGCAAAAATTACAAATTTGGTTGTGACACTGAACTTTAGGGTAGAATTTACAGATGGACTCTCTCTCCCTCTCTAAAACGAAATGCAGAGGACCAGAAAAAAATCCGTTGTACAGAGAATTTCATTGTAGAGAACCCCTATAACACAGGGAGAGTCCCCTATTCATGAGACCAAAAAAAAATTCGTTGTGAAAAATATTGTTGTAGAAGAAGTCCACCTGGATTTACAGTTCCAATGGACAAATCAAGCAGAAAAATCTGTAGGCCGACTGAAGGTGTACACCAATTTTTTTACATTTGTTTGACATCAATATAGGTGATGAGTAAATGAGTTATAGGGTATCCCATCGATGTTCCAAAAGGGCTTGAACATAATCACGATTGAACCAATGATACCCACCTGTAATAATTAACAAAGGCTCTTTCAGACAGTTATTTTCTGATTTTTTCCACCGTTCTTGAATAATAAAATAAAACGAACAAACGCAGGTTCAAACTGGAACAAGCAGAACAGCGTCGACGTGCCAAAGAAGCAAAAACGCACCAGGAGCTGGAACGTCGGCAATTGCGAGATGCGAATTTTCAGCACTGGCTGCACCAGAAAAGCCAACAGCGTTTGATGCACAAGCACCGCGATGGTTCATCATCATCCTGCGCCTCACCCTCCATCAGCAACCCTGGCAACCCGCCGCTTCATCATCCCCGCAACGGACCTTTGAGACCCACAGCAGCAAGCCTGAATGGCACCATCAAGGATCCCCTTGTAGCCAAGGAGAGCTTCCAGGTATGAAAGGAAATTTCCCTCGATTTATTCGGAAATTCCGTTTTCAAAGTAAAATAAAAAATAAAAAAAGGTTCAAATATTTTAAACCATAAACGAGCTTATCTTCATTATTCCACTATAGTATTAGTATTATTAAAGTAGAATAATAATTATTGAATTGAATTTTAAAGGAGGAATTCATCACAAGATCATTTTCTACCCAAACAGTAACAAAATTTGTGTAATTTTTCGCCATGTTCGTTAAAAAAATAAAATAAAAATGGAAATAAAATTATGTGTATGACTTTCTTGGGTTTCTGTATACTACAGTGAGACCTCAAAATGCATATGTAATTGATGCATCAAGAGTGTCCTGATGTTGGAATGTGCCTAAGTTGAGTTTCATTTTCCCTTAGACTTCAATGCTAACATATTATTGTCAAAAATTAGAAATAAGTCCTCAAAATTTTTAATAAAATGTGTTTCCCTCAACTTTGAGTTGTGCAAAGCCACAAAGAATCTGATCTTATGGTATCAAAAAGAGATCAAAAAGCAAAGAAAAAGACTGAGTCTTGCTAGAATATGCACAGATGATAGAAAAAAAACTCTGAAAAAAGAAGCACAAAATCAGATTGCTTTTGATTATGAATTGGAGTGGATTTATTATGAAATATTGTGGATAAGTTAAAAAAAATTGCATGAAATAGTATAAATGGGGATATTCTGGGCCTAAACTTGCTACTTAATAAGTTTACAGCTTGATGAACTTAGACACAGGGGTTCATTTGCTTAATTAGTCTTTCACTTCCTTTCAATATGCATAAAATCATTGGTTTGGTTGATTTCCTCTTTCATATTTTGAGAAAATAGTAACCAAAAGGCCTCAGAAAATTTGACTTACAGAGGTTTGGGAGAAAACTGCCTTGAGTTAGAGATGTTTTTAATGCATTGTTTCTAAAGGAATTCAGACATATGGACTTGAAAAACATTTAGTGGG